AGACACAATTCGTAAAGTTAGATCACATAGGATTCAGTATGAGTTTGCCAATTGGATACAAAATTGGTTTAATGGCAAGAGACAGTGATGGTGGAAGGTTGTTTTTTGGTCTGGAGACCTGCTACCAGATGTCTTTGATAGGGATTTGTGTTGGGTCCACATTTGTTTGTCACTTATATAAGTGATTTAGATGGAATGTAAAAGGCACGAGTTAGTAGGTTTTCAGGTGACATCATGATTGGTGGAATAGTGGACAGTTAAGGTTTTCTAAGACTATAAAGAGATCTCGATCAATTGGGTCAATGGGCTGAAGAGTGGCAGATGGAGTTTGGATAAATGTGAGGTATTGCATTTCGAAAGAGCAAACAATTGCAGGACTTGTACAATTAAAATTAGGACCTTGAGGTAGTGTTGTCAAACAGAGAGACTTAGGGTTCATTTGCATAATTCTTTGAAATTTGCATCACATGTAGACAGGGTGGTTAAGGCATTTAGCAGGCTTGCCTTCATTGCTTAATCTTTGAGTATAGGATTTAAGAAATTATATTGAGGTTGCACAGGACATTGGTGAGGCCACTTCTGGAGTATTATGCCAGTTCTGTTTTAGGAAGGATGTTACTAAGCTGATGAGGGTTTAGAAGAGATTTATCAGAATGTTGCCAGGAATGGAGAGTTTGTTATAAGTAGAGGCTGGATAGGCTGGGACTTCTTTCACTGGAGTGTAGGAGGTTGAGGGGTGACCTTATAGAAATTTATAAAATCATGAGGGGTATAGATCAAGACTAAGGGGCATATTTTTAAGGTGAGAGAGAAAGATTTAAAAAAGACATAAGGGGCATTTTTATTTTAAGAGTGGTTCGTGTATGGAATGAACTTGGAGGAAGTGGTGGATGTAGGTACGTTTACAATGTTTAAAAGACATTCAAATAAGTACATGAGTAAGAAATGTTTTGAGGTATATGGGCCAAGCGCAGGAAGGTGGGACTAGTTAAATTTGGGATTATGGTCAGCATGGACTGGTTGGACCGAAGAGTCTGTTTCCCTGCTGTATGACTCCTGACTCTATGACATACGATGACAACCAATTTACGACTGCTAGTTGAGCTCACAGCGTGGTGCATTCGCATATACTGGAAACTATCATTGTTAATATACAGGGCCCTGTTCTTTGCAGACAAAAGAAATATGTACACGCACAGTGCCTGTTTCAACTCAAAACAGGTGACGGGTGGTCGCTGGTTTATTTCTTAGTGATGTTCTGAAACATCAGAGTCAACCTGCTTAGTTTAAAATTTTTAAACAAAGCATGGCTATTAACTATCATTCAGCATTACTAGGTGCATTGTCAAAGAGTCATTGAGTAATGCACCACAGATACAGACCCTTTGGCTCAACTCATCCATGCTGACCAGGTTTCCTAAACTGAACTAGTCCCATTTGCTGTGTTTGGCCCATATCCCTCTTAAACCCTACCTATCCATTTACCTATCCAAATGTCTTTTAAGTGTTGTAATTGTATCTGCCTCTACCACTTCCTCTGACAGCTCATTCCATATACACACCACCCTCTGTGAAAAAGTTGCCCCTTGGGCCCCTTTTAACTCTTTTCCCTCTCACCTTAAACCTATGCTGTCCAGTTTTGGACTCCCCGACCCTGGCTATTTTTACCTTCTCTATGCCCCTCATGATTGTATAAACTTTTACGAGACTATCCTTCATCCTCCTCCACTCCAGGGGAAAAAGTCCCAGCCTATCCAACCTCTCCTCCTAACTCAAACTCTCCAGTCTCAGTAATATATATGTAAATCATTTTTGCACCCTTCCTGTAGCAGCGCAACCAGAATTGTACTCAGTCTTCATTGTAAAGGATAGAAGTAACATCCCAGAAATAATGATGAATCAGGGTGAAAATGAGGGATGAACTTAAAACAATTTTATTCACTCTGGGGAGAAAGTAGTGAGAAAGTTTAGAACTAAAAACTGACAAAAAAGTACCCTGGTCTCCACAATTGGATCTTAAAAGAAGTGGCTGCTAACATAATCGATGCATTAGTTTTAATTTAGGGAATTTTCCAAAATTTGGGAAAGGTCCCATCAGTTTGAAAAATTGTGAATACAATTCGCCTATTTAAGGAAGAGGAAATAGGAAGCAGGAGTCCATAGAACATTTAACATATTTGTTTATTTTGTAGGTTATAGCAGGGTACTTGTAGCAGGGAAAATTTCAATGCCAGCAGGAAGAGTGAACATGGTTTGTGAAAGGAAAATCATGCTTGACTAATGTATTGGAGTTTCTTGAGAAAGTAACCAAAATGTTGCCTGGGCTGGAAAGCTGTAGTTATTAAGACTAATTGCAAATACTAGGATTGTTTTCCTTGGAGCAAAGGAGACTGAGGGGCGATATGATTGAAATGTATGAGATTATTAGGGCATAGGAAGGGTAGACAAGAAGAATCAATGACCAGGAGGCACAGATTTAAGGTAAGGAGCAGAAGATTTAGAGGAGATGTGAGGCAAAACTTTTCACCCAGAGGATGGTGGGAATCTGGAACTCACTGCCTATAAGGATGGCAGAGGCAGAAATCCTCATAATATTTAAGAAATTTTTAGATGTACACTTTCAGTGTCAAAGTATACAAAGCTCAGGGCCAAGTGCTGGAAAATGGGATTAGAACAGTTAGGTGGTTGTTTTTGACTGGCATTAACTGGATGGGCCATTAGAACAGAAAAAGCCTGTAGACCTATGTGACTGTAACAAATAATGTGGATCAAGGGGAACCTGTTGATCTGGCGTACTTAAATTTCCAGAAGATACTTGACAGGTTGCCATATTGGAGGTTACTACAAAAATAAGACCCCATGGAATTAGGGGCTAACGTGTCAACATAGATGATTGTTCAGCTAACAGGAAACACAGTAGTTCTAAATGGGTCATTTTTAGGTTGACAGTGGTGTGGTACAGGGTTCAGTGCTGAGGCCTGAACAATTTACAATTTATCTTGATGACTTGGATGAATGGACTAAATGTATTAAGTTTGCTGATGACAGACAATTAGGAAGGAAAGGTTTGAAAAGGACAAAAGTTTGCAAAGCGGTATCGACAGGTTAAGTCAGTGGGCAAAAGTTTAGCAGATGGTATGTATTATTGGTAGATGTAAATGTTCTACTTTTGACAGGAAGGATAAAAAAGCAACATAGCATTTAAATAGAGACTGTAGAACTCTGATACTGAGGGATCTGAGTGGCCTGGTACAAAAACTTGTTTGCAAATTCTGTAGCGTTTCAAAAGGCAAGTGGAATGCTTATTGCACAGGAAATGGAACATAAAAGTACGGATGTTTTGCTGCAGTTGTAGAATCAGTGAGACCCAGGTGGAATACTATGTACGGTTTTGGTCTCCTACTGGATTGATAGCTGAGATGGCAGGGTTATCTTATGAGGAAAGGGCCTATACTCATTGGAGTTTAGAAGAATAACAAGCAATCTTATTGAAACATTTAAGATCCTGAGAGGACTTGACAGGGTGAATATTGAAAGGATGCTTTCCCCTTGTGCGCGAGGGTAGAATTAAGGGGCATGGCTTAAATATAAGGAGTCTCTTATTCAAGACTGAAATGAGGATAAATTTCATCTCTGATGGTAGAGAGTATTTGGAACTCTCTCTTCCCCAGAGCATGGTGGACGTAGGGTTAATGACTATTTTTAAGGCAACAGTAGATAACCTTTGACTCCCATATTAGTTAAGAACCTATGGGTGGAAATATGGAGTTGAGGCCACATTCAGATCAGCCATGATTTTATCGAATGGCAGAGCAGGCTTAAGGAGCCAAGTGACCTAATCTTGCTGCTAATGTGTTTTATTAAATTTATAGCTACTATATAAATGAAAATTGTCATTATTGTAATTGTATGCTCTAGAGTGGATCCATACTGCACTGTGATTCTCCTGTGTTCAAAAAGTGGACTGAACGTTCATAGATTCATACAGCGCAGAAAAGGCCTTCAGCCCATCAAGTCTGCACTGACATAACTACCACTAAAAGTGTACTCATCTCAATTTCCTGCACTTGTCCGATATCCTTGAATGTTATAATATTTGAAGTACTCATCCAAATTTTTTTAAAAGTTGTAAAGTTTCCAGCCTCCACTACCTTCCCAGACTGTGCATTCCAGATTTCCCCACCCACTGAGTGAAAAAGTTTTTTTTTCCCCCAAATCTGTCTAAATCTCCCATCTCTTACCCTAAAACTATGACCTCTCGTCATTGACCCCTTAACCAAAGGGAACAGTTGCTCTTTATTCACTCTGTCTATACCTTTCATAATCTTATACACCTCACATATACCCAGAAAACGGAGACTTCAACTCTAAACCAATATAAGGTTTATTTGTATAATCTTGCTATCACTTATCTTTAATGTCCATCTGAGAAGGACTTTAAAACCTTGTTTTAACATCTTATTCAAAGAGGTTTGAGATATAAAAATAGACTGGAAAAGCTGGGACTTTTTTCACTGCTGCATATGAGGTTGAGGGGTGACCTTATAGAGGTTTGTAAAATCATGAGGGGCATAGATAAGGTGAATGACAAGGGTCTTTTCCCTAGGGTGGGGGAGTTCAAAACTAAAGGGCATATTTTTAAGGTGAGAGGAGAAAGATTAAAGAAAGGACACGAGGAGCAGGTGTTTTTATACAGAGGATGGTTTGTGTGGAATGAACTGCCCGGGAAAGTGGTGGTTGCAGGTATAGGAAAGGAATAGGAAATGTTTGGGGGGATATGGACCAAGTGCAGGCAGATGGGACTAGCTTAGTTTGGGAACATGGTTGGCGTGGACTGGTTGGACCGATGGCTCTGTTTCCGTGTTGTATGACTCAACATCCAAAGATACCTCTTGCACAGCACTTCTCTTTGATCATTAAACTCAATCTCAGTTGGATCAAGACCACCAAGGCTGCTGTCTTATTTTCACAGTATAAATACAAGATTAACACAAATTTAGGTTTTTCTTACTTGACTGTTTTCCACAGAAGTTGAAATGGGACGCAGGAAATCGAAGAGAAAGCCTCCTGTTAAGAAGAAGGTGCTTGGCACTCTAGAAACACAATTCACGTGTCCATTCTGTAACCATGAAAAGTCATGTGATGTTAAGATGTAAGTGTGTGATGTCACAACATTTTGTTTTCAAAGGCTTGATACATTGTCAGTTTGCAGATGTTCTGGTTGTTGTACTTTTTAATAAAATGAGCTCGTGAAAACAACAGAAGGGATAGGAAAGAGAGTAGACCATATATCCCATCAAGCCAGCTCAGCCATTCAGTACAATAATGACTGATCTTGGTCTTTATGTCCACTTTCCTATCTGTACTCCAAGTCGCTTGATTCCTTGAGAGACCAAATGTCTGTCTATCTGAACCTCAAATATCTCTGATGATGAACTCTCTGGGACCGGGAATTCCAATGATTCACAATCCTTTGAGTGAAGTAATTTCTCCTCAACTCTGTACTAAAGGATCAGACCCTTTTCCTGATACTGTGCCCAGTGTTTTAAATTTTCTGACCAGTAGAAACAGTGTCTCAATATCTACCCTGTCAAGCCACTTCAGAGTCTTCTAAATTTCAACAAGATCACCTTTCATTCTTCTAAACTGCAAAGAATATAGACCCAATTTACTCAGCCTATCATCATAGAATGACCCTTTCATCCCAGAGATAAATCTAGTGAATCATTGCTATACTGCATCAAATACAGGTACATCTTTTCTTAAATATTAAAACCAAAACTACACTCAGTATTCCAGATATAGTTTCACCAAATCACTTTAGAATTGTCACAAGATTTCTTTCTTCCTGTACTCAAATCTCCTTTGCAATAAAGGCTAACATGCCATTTTGTCTTTCTAATTGCATGCTAACCTGTTTACTTTGCACACCCAAGTTCCTTTGAAATACAAATTTCACACTTTTTAGAAAATATTCTGCTTTTCTATTCTCAAGACCAAAGAGAATAACTTTACACTTTTTTAATGTTATGATTGATCTTCTATATTTTTGCACACTCATCTATTCTGTCTGAATCTCTTTATAGCCTCTTTCATCCCCACAGCTTACCTTTCCACATAGCTTTGAATCATGAGCAGACTCAGATACGTTACTTCCTAGTCTAGGTGGTAAATTTAGTGTAATTAGATCACCTTTAGATAAATTTCGTGTCATGTTCACTGTAGTATTCAAGGAAATCAAGACTTCATTTGTATTAATGGTGTGCCAATTTGATGCCATTTTGAAATACTTGTGTTATAACTACTCACATGTATTAGCCAAGGTTTGTTACATAATTCTTTATCTCAGTCATTAGTATAAATTGTAAAAATCTGAGGTCCTAGCACAGACCCTTGTGGTATGCAACTATTCACTGTATGTCATCTTGAAAATGCCCTACTTATGTCCACTCACTGTCCAGTGTATTAAGCAATTCTCTATAATTCTCTGTCATGACAATATATATCCCAATTCCATGATCTCTTCTCTTGTCTACAAGCATTTTGTGCTGCGCATTATTCTGTGCCCTTTTTGGAAGTCTAGGTCTGCTATAAATACTGGGCCCCCTTTACCTATCTTATGAGTTACACCCTCATTAAAAAATCATAAATTTTATCAAACAGGATTTTCCTTTACTAAAACTGTATTAAACTGTTCTAATCATTCTGTGCTTTTCTAAGTGCATTGTTAAGGCTTCCTTAACAATAGGTTCTAGCATTTCACAACATTTGATAGTAGGCTAATGTGTCTGTAGTGCACTGTTTTCTATCTTGCTTCTTTCTTGAAAAGTAGTGTAACATTTTCAACTTCCAGTGTGATAGGACTGCTCACAAACCTAAGGAATTTTGGAAAATCATAGCGAGCATGTTCACTATCTCTGCAGCTATTTCTTTTAGACCCTAGGATAATGACAAGTAGATCCTCGGATTTGTTGTGTTTTAGTCTCTTAAATTTCTCAATACTTACCTGTTGATATTAATTTTCATAATATCCATGCCCTTTTTATCCCCTGGTTCCCATTTATTTCTGGATGAAAACTTGCATATTCTGTAAAAATTGAACAAATATATTGTATCTATTCTACAGGATAGTATCTCCAACCTGTTTCTGAGGGACCAACATGTACGTTAGCTACTCTGTTCCTTTTTTGATTCCTGATAAAATATCTTTACAGTCTGTTTTTATGTTTCTGGCTACTTTACTGTTGTATTCTACTGGTTGCCTTTTGCTACTTTCTAAAACACTACATCTCTTGCTTGCTTGCTCTCATTCCCCCCATACTCCCACTTTCTCCATTTTCCCCCCCGCCCCCAAACCTCATGTGCATTCTCTCTTCTCTCTCTCTCTCTCTGTCTCTATCTCTTTATGTCTACCCCAATCCCCCACTCCCCTTTCCCCCCATCAGCAATCTTCAATCCATGCTAATGTTACCCCTACGCCATGATCCTTTATCTTCCACATACAGGGTTAAAATATTGAATATCACAAAAGGCCGCATTTCCCTGTTTAAATAATGGATATATAATCAGATTAGGAAGTTACATTTCATGTTACTTACTGTGCAATGTAAAATTTGGGGCCATTATGCTAAGTTGCACTGTAAACCTTTTAATGCAAATTTCCATTTCAAGGTGCACCTACAGAAGCTTAGTGGTTCAGGCTTATCTGATCTCTAAGCTTATGGCTTTTCCTGTAAATGCTGCTCATAGTCATTTGAATTTTTACTGCTTTTATTAAAGAATACAAGCTAACCATTAACAAATATTGTTTTTGTTTCTTTGTACAAATAACAGCATATACTGTTGGAGTTTAAGAACCTGTTAGTATCCACTTTCATGCACCATCCAAGAAATAAATAAATGAACAAATTAATTGACAGACTTTTCCCACTTTCTTGACCAGAGAGTTTGTGTGCATGGAGCTGTGTCTCCTGAATTCTGTTCTTAGCTATCTGCAAGTATTATTTCTGTGATCCTTTAAATTTCGCAGGTTATGCCTTAGCCTGGGGCTGAACAAATCAGGGTGGGGAGAACACTAATTGGAACCACCTCTTTGGTTCTGAAAGGGTAGTGTGGAGTATCATGTTAAAATTTAGCTGTTTCTAATTTTTTCCTCCCCACTCCCATTTTTCAGGGACCGCGCGCGGAATACAGGAATCATATCCTGCACTGTGTGTTTAGAAGAATTCCAAACTCCAATAACATGTATCCTTCATTTAAAAACAAAAGAATATGGAGAGATTCTAGGACATGCGCGTATATTCGGTCTGACCTTGTCCTCACCCATTCTTCCTAACGTCCACGTTTCTCACTTCTTGTGTCAAGCATACAACATACACCAATTTAGTACAAATAAGATCCCAAGGAATGAAATGAGCAGACTTCAGGAGTGTGGCCAAAAGCTTAGTCAGAGATAGTTTGTTCGTTTGTTTTTATGGCGGTGTTAAGAATTCAAGAGAACTGTAGAGCATGGGCCGAAATAGCGGAAGCCAAAGTTGGCAGAAGTGAGGCATAGGGTAGTGGAGATGCACATAAGTGAGCATTGGAGGAGTGTGACATTCCTTGGCTAGATGGTGGGGGCATCTGTTTGTTGGGACTGTATCACTGAAGAAATTTGAGATGGGGTGGAATGTGGCCTTGAAGAGATTTTTTTAAATGCAGTTTTAAATTAAAGCCATTGAGAAGACCAGTGTCTAATATAGGATGATCATAAGGAGAATAGGATATAGGCATCAGCAAATATTGGGTGAGCTGAAGTTTGTGGAGAGTAATCTAGAAGCAACCAAAATATTGATAAGGTTTCAACAGAAGGTAGATTTAGATGGTCAATATAATGGAGCTGGGTTATAGTTGAACAGGTTTATTTGAAAACACTAGCTTCTGGAGTATTGCTCCTTCCTCCGGTGTACTGAGAGAGGCATAAAGACACAGAATTTTAAAAGTAAAAGATAATACAACTGATGTGAATGTATTGAACAAACCTAAGTTGGCTGGCAGACTCCCTCCCGTTAAATCTTTAATCCGTTAGAAAGGAGATGCAGGTTCCGATTGATTAAAATGCAAATCTCAGAATTTCTTTCAGGTCACTGTCCCGAGGTAATTAAAGGTTTTATGAGTTTATACAAAGCGATGACATCTCAGGTCAGACAATGCATTTTAGGTGTTAGGCCTTGTTTAGAATCTGTCTGTGTTACTAACCTGGAGTCAGACTGCTTTTATTTCCAAAGCAGGAATTTATAGAATGCCCCATTGACTGACTGTGTGCTTTTTGAACAAAATGGAGTACATCTGCAATGTAGAGGAGGCCACATCGGGAGCAGTGGATGATGTGGCCTCCTCTACATTGGTGGGACCAAGCGGAGCTCGGAGACTGCTTTGTAGAGCACCTACACTCCATTCGTGACAAATGACAACACCTTTCAGTCGCAAACCATTTCAACTACCCCTCCCACTTCCTGGGCGACATGTCCATCCTGGGCCTCCTCCAGTGTCACAATGACACCACCCACAAACTGGAGGAGCAGCACCTCATACTCCACCTGGGAGCCTACAACCCAATGGTCTCAATGTGGACTACCAGTTTCACAATCTCCCCACCCCTGGCCTCATCATGACCAACCCTTCCTCTCATCCCCGCCTTCTTGACCTGACACAACCTGTCCATCTTCTCTCCCACCTATCCGCTCCTCCCTCCTCACTGACCAATTTCCACCACTCCCTACCTGCACTCACCTATCACCATCCCGCCTACCTTCCCCAGCTCCACCTCTCCCCTCTCTCTTTATTTCAGAGCTCCCTTCCCCCCCCCTCCCCCATTTCTGAAGAAGCGTCCTGACCCGAAATGTCAACTTTCCTGCTCCTCTGATGCTGTCTGTCCTGCTGTGCTCCTCCAGCTCCACACTGTGTTATACCAGACCTGTGTATGTGTGTGTGTATTGTTGGGGGGTGCTGTTAATTACATGGCTTTACGCAGGGAAGGTGGTAAAAAGGCAACTGGACTGATTGTTACTCAATGAGCCAAGTTATAGTCAAATCAGGTGACTATGCAGTCCTTTACATTAAGGCCACAGATGTATGTCTTGTTTGAGTGCATAGGTTTACTGAAGAAGAGTGTTATGTTGATGAGCTGGCAGATGCAAGTGACCAGTAGTGGAGACCATGGACATTACAGGATGGGGGTTGGTGAGATTTTCTTTTGGCATGGCATTGTTCTTGTCTGATTTTAATTTATACATATATGTAATCATCCACACCAACTTCTTCCTGCACTGTTACCTGTGGTGCCCTCCAAGAATCTATTCTTGGCCTCCTCATTTCTCATCTCCATGCAATCTCTGGCAACATCTGCTGGAAACATGCATGCTAATGACTCCCAGCTCAAGCTCACTACTGCTTTCCTAGTTCCCTCCACCATCTCTTAAATTTGCTGACATTCATTACTAGATGAGCAGAAATTTCTTCAGCTAGAAATTGGTAAGATTAAAACCATTGTCTTCAGTCCCTTCTACAAAGTACTCCCAAGCTGCCAACACCATCTGTCTCCCCCTGCAGCTGCCTGAGGCTGAGCCAGGCTTTTCACAATCTCTGTTGTCTTGATTGTCTTCCAACCATACACCTGTGCCGTCATGAAGAACGTTCATTTTTTTCATCTGTCAAATTACCTACCTCTGCTCCTGTCTTAATATACTTATCCATGTCACCAATTGCTCCAGATTTGACTATTCCACCTTGTTTTTGGCTGGCCTCTCACTTCCAACTTTTTGTGTACTTGAGATCATCGAAGGTCCATTGACAAGTGACATTGAATCCTGTTAATTGACCTTCTGTGTTTAGTGAACTACATAAAATAGATTAAGCAGCCCCTCGAGAATTAGAACATGGAACAGTACAGGCCCTTCAGCTCATGATGTTGTGCCGACCTATTATCCTACTAAGATCAATATTTTTAGCCTTTTTTTCTTGGCCTTTCAAATCTTTCTGTAACTTCACTGCTCTACCTCCGTAATCTCCTTCTGTACTATAACTCTCTGATATATCTGCTGTTCTTCACGGTTGGTCTCTTTCGAGCACCTCTGATTTTAATTGCTCCACCATTGGGAGCTGCGCCTTAATCTGCCAAAGCAGTAATATTAGCCTGGCATGTTCTTCTTAAACCTTTCCATCTCTCTTCCTCTCTTTCCTTCTTTAATACACTCCTTAAAACCTCCTTCTTTGAACAGACTTCTAGTCATCTTTCCTAATAGAGCACCATATAAAAACAAGTTGATTTTGCTGTTGGGATAATGGTGAGATTAGTTCTCCCTGGGTGGCAAATTTGGTAAGATTAGCTCTTGCTGGGGGCACTGGGTGGAAAGATTAGTGAAAGGAATTTGGTACTTTTGGCTTACTACCTTTTTCAAGGAGCTGTGGATGGGTGTGCACATAATTTTTTGTCTGTATACCTCCCTCTCCTCCAGGGCTCTGCATTTGAAGTTTAGTGTTAATCTTGGTGATATTTAGATGACCACTGTTAATTTCATTGCTGGTGCCTTTTCTTTAACTGTTGTTACTCAGATCTGTCGGAGCCGGTGGATGTTTACAGTGATTGGATTGATGCCTGTGAAGCAGCAAACCAGTAGTCTATGCTCAAATCTCTTAGATTTTACTTCAAGGTGTTTTTGAGATATTGCTTTTTTGCTGACTGTATATAATTTGAGTTCATGTGGAATCTGCTGTAATCTTTGGACTGTTCCCAGCCTGTGTTATTAAAAAGTTAGAATTCTTCTATTTGTTGTGTGAGCTTTTACTTCTCAATGTTGAAGTTTTAATGAGTAGGTTTTCTGTCTTTCAGTGGATGTGAATGTATACGCAATCACCAGTAAGTCGGCATGTGGGCACATATGGGTACAGGACTGAGACTGCATGCAGTGTGACAGAGATGAGTTAGTGATCAGGTAATACTGGGCTTGAGTCCTGGAATCGTTATGGCGTGGAGACTGTGCTGTAGACTGATCCAGTCAATCCTTTCTCTGTACTCTATCCCTCGACCCTGGGAGCCTTTCTAACTTAGATGCCCAACCAGATTCCTTTTGAATTCACTCATCCTCTCACCTTTCACCATCCTGCAAGTACCAGGCCTGCATCTCTTTCCCAAAATCTTAAATTTGTGTCCCATCATCCTTTACCATTGTGCAACAGCAAGTTTCAGAAAGATTAAGTTTGGTACAACATTAAACATGAGTCTTAAAATTGAAGTTGAGGCATGAAGAAAATATAAATAAACTGCTCACCAAGAAATAAGTCAGAGCAATAAATCCAATAATTTTTAATTGGTAAAGATGGCCAATAAAAAGTACCAAGCAGGAGAGCAAACTAAAACTACAGAGTGGGACAGACTAGGCCCCAAGTCTTTGTCACCAGGGAACCAGGAGGGACTTATACTGAGGTCAGGAGCTGGTTTTAACTAATAACTACCTTGCATTTTGCCTCTGGTGCATACCCTCCAAATTGACTTGGAGAGAATTTATACATGAGTGAGGAATAATAGTAGGTTGCCTTTCAGCTTGGGTATTCTTCCTGTCCCAACCAAATAAGTGGATAGTGTTTGGGGAGGGTGTATGTGTGCCCAGCTGATTCCCAATCTCAGAGTTTACACTCTAATCCTCACTCTTGCAAGTCTGCTCCTGCCTCCCTCATTCATTCCTTCTCTTTTATAATCCCTCTCAGTCCCTATCTCAGTCAGTTTCTCTTGTACTCCTACACACTCTTGTTTTCGAGTTCATGCCTTCTTGCTTGGTTTTCTTTGTGTATGCTTGTGCCTTCTGGGTTGCTCACGTATTTACCTTGTGCTCACATCCCCCTGTCTTGCTCACCACCACCTTCCCCCCCCCACCCCCCCACCGACCCCGGTCCACTCCACACCTTCTCACACCGTCGCTGAGGAGTGTGCTGCTGATCAAGCTCCACTACCTCTCAAAATGTACAATTCAATTTACAAGATGCTAATTTTATTTACTATTTGCGAGGCTTAAAAAAACTCCAACCAGGTTTCATTTATAAACACAAAAATGTACTTAGTCTTTAACAACTGGCAAAATGGATTATTAACTACTATAACAATTGTGCAAGATGAGACATAAAGCTCTGCAGTGTTTTTATCAGTGGAAAAATAGGCAAAAATAAAGTCTTGTGAATCAAAAGTCCAAAACTCAAAGGTGGAAAGAAGTGACGTTCTTAGTTCTTTTGTCTGTTAACAAGATCACATTGCCGTCAGCCTCAGGACGATGGAAATTCCTTGCTTTTGATAGATGGTTGTTTAGATTGAGGTGTCTTATTGAACTAGCAGTTTTTAGCTTTCTGAGTCTTTGAGCAATGCCTTTTATCCAAAGGGAGGGAAAGAGGGAGATCACTGTTGCCCTGCAAACCTCTCCATAACAGAGAAAGAAACCTGTCTTTGTCGCACATTTCTTGGAGGTCTCTTTCCAACTGTTCCACCAACTGTCCACTCACTAGTTTGGCAAAAAAGACACTAAGTCTAAATGCTGTTGCTAGGCGACCTGAAGCCCATTCCCCTTCCACCTGTTTGTCTAGGCAAAGTAGGAAATCCATCTGGTATCTCTAAACAGCTCTGCTTTTCCAAAGGTCATTTGACATTTTGTAAATAGTAAATAGATCACAAAACAGTTTCACTTTTGACTTGAACTTTTTAAAAAAAAATCACATGGTAAAATCTGCACCCTAAGCATTGTCCAAAACTTTGAGAATAAAAATTGGAAAAATCAATAAGTATTTATGGTTTTTACAGTGCATCTGCTCCCCCATGCCACCCACCCCCCCTCCCCCGTCATCTTCACCCATCTCATGCATCTTCACCCTCCTTGTGTGTTTTTGCTGCCCTCTTGTGTACTTATGGTGTCCACACAATAATGCAAGATTCTGGTCTTCCCTAACATCCAACTAGCAACATGGAAGCTCTCACTTGCAGTCTTTCCCTCATCTCACTGTTTACTCACTGCCACCACTCTAGTATTAAGGTCTCAGTTTGAATGAAGTCTTGCATTCATACAGCTGGCTGTTGCTTCAATCACTATGTTTCTGTCCCACAGAGGAAATAAGCTGTAATTGGAGAAAAAGCTCCTTGCAAAAGTTTTCACTACCTTGCTTTTTGATCTATGGTTCTGTAACTGGACTCTGGACAAACCAGTTGTACCATCAATTAGTGAAAAGGCTTTTCTTTATCTATGTAAACTTGTCGTAACATTGTACACTTCTCTTAAGTCTCCCCTCAATCTCTTTTGTTCCAAAGAAAACAGTTCCAACTTCACCAGCTTAAAATGGCTTATCATAATAAAGGAGAAAGTCAGAAGTCATATCACACCAGATTATAGTACAACAGGTTTATTTGAAATCACAAGCTTCTGGAGCACTGCACTTAGTGAGGTGAAGTGAAAGCGGTCCGAAAGCTTGTGATTTCAAATAAACCTGTTGAACTACAACCTGGAGCCGTGTGATATTGACTTTGTCCACCCCAGTCCAACACCAGCAACTCCACATAGTGATAAAAGAGTGACTGTTGAAGCTAAGCAGTTTCATAGTTCTCAGAACTAACAAACTGGATGCTGGAAATCTAAAATTAAAACAGAAAATGCTGGGGATACTCAGTAGATCTGGCAGCATTTATGGAACAAGAAACAGAGAAGACTACAGGTGGTGAACCCTGACAGTGGTGTGGGATGATAATGATTGAGATTCTGGGCCAAGTGTTTAACGATGTCTGGTGTATCAAAAAGTTGTGTTTCACCAGTAACTAATGCCAAGTCGACCACCTTTTCCACATGCAGCATCCATTGCGTTGCTGTGAAAATTTTAATGTTATCCTCTTGTACTAGCTAGAAAGGCTATTTTTGTTCTTTCATGGGATGTGGGCATTGTCAACATTTGTTACCCATCCCTAATTATCCTTGAACCAAGTGGCTTCCCCGACCAATTCGGGGGGCATTTAAGAGTCAACTATAATCCAGTGGATCTGGAGTCATATTTAGGCTGGAATAGGTAAGGAAGGCAGATTTCTTTCCCTGAAGGACATTAGTCAGATGGGTCTTTATAACAATCAGTAATTGTTTAATGGTAATCATTACTGAAACTAGTTTTCAATTCCATATTTTATTGATTCAATTTAAATTCTTGTGACGTTACCACTATGGTACTATCTTCCCCCATTGTTGGGGGAACAGCAGGTTGTCATATAGCATGAAAACAGACCCTTTGGTCAAACTAGCCCACACCTACCATGTGCCAAAACTAAACCAGCTCCATTGCCTGCGTTTGGCCCATATCCCTCCAAACTCTTCCTATTCATATACTTATTCAAATATCTTTTAAGCAGTGCATCCACCCCTTTCTCTGACAGTTCATTCCACACACTAACAACTCTGTTTTTAAAAAAAGTTGTCATAGAGATGTACAGCATGGAAGCAGATCCTTCCGTCCAACTCGTCCATGCCAACCAGATATCCTAAATTAATCTAGTCCCATTTGTAGGATTGGCCCATAATCTCTCTAAATCCTCCCTATTCATGTACCCATTCAGATGCCTTTTAAATGTTGTAATTGTACCAGCTTCCATTGCTTTCTCTGACAGCTCATTCCATACACACAACACCTTCTGTGTGAAAAAGTTGCCCCTTCGGTTCCTTTTAAATCTTTCCCCTCTGACCCTAAACATGTGCCCTACCCTTGGTAAATACTTTAGAATTGAAACCTGAGGGTTTGTTACTTTCATGTTCTCCACAAGAATGCTTTGGGAAAGTGTCAATGAATTTGTTGAATCCAATGTCTGAATCAGAGCATTTGAAGTACTGGTTAAGAGTGCCTGAAATGTTCAGGCAAGAACACGAGCTGCAAGAGCATTTATTCAATAAATCAGAAGCTTGGTTTAGTCTGGTTTTATTAACTAACAATGGCATCGTGCTCTGTATTAGGACAGCAGTACACAATTCACATTAAACTCTTTTCAGTAAAAGATCCTTTAATTAGCCACATAGGGTAGTTTAACATCACTTACTGAATTGTTAACAATCACATATCCAGATCACAGGCAAAGAATTAATGCTGTCTGGAGATTTCCTGATTCAATTTGAGACTGACTGAAGTGATTTGTGGAAGTTGGTCACTACATTTGAGCCTACTTGAATCCATTCTATCTACGTCTTCCATCATTGATGTGTTTCTGCAGTGATATTACCTAGTGTAGACTGTAAACTGGAGAACTGACACAAGTATGGTATGCTGAGCCCATACATGGACATTGGGTCCACTAGGTACTGAGCCTGTGCACGGAAGCTGAGAACAGCTGAAGCTTAGTCAAATGGACCTGATGTAATCAGTGACTAGCTGATTGAGCTCTTATGTGAGGCTTGCCTGGTGGCCAAGTTTATTTTGAGGTTGGTTGTCATTCTGTTGTTCTTTGAAATGAAATAGCATGTCTTGTTTGTCTGACTATTAAACTGCTACACGTTTTTGTAATGTTTCTGAATAAACCATAGTGAGCCAGGTGAACAAAGTACAGAGATCTGGTGTGACCCTGTGATGTTCTGATAGAGTTCTGAGTCTAATTGTGTGCCTGCAACTTGGGAGGTGTTTGTTGAATTTGAGAAGTGCTGATGTGAGCAGATTTACACAAGTCACTAGATAACTGCTGGTCATAGTGTTTAAACACTGTCAATACTTAAAGGAACACAAAATCTAAAAACTAACCTAACTGCTGTTAAAACATTCTTATCACCTCAGGTTTTCCTCTGTTTCTGTACCAGTGCTGAGTTGGATGTTAAACTGCTTCACACTTTGAAATTTCAGTTTCAATACTACCACACAAACATCGCAGTAATGAAAATAGTGGGATCAGTTTTCAAAGTTAGTGTTATAGAATTAGCCTTGCCCCAGTGACGCACATCCATCTCGTTCAGTGCCTGAATTGTTAAATTTGCTCAATACATCATTGCTAAGCTCATAATAAAACAACCTAAGAATGATTGGTAGATCAGTGCAGTGTGTCCCTGCGTGGGTCACCGTAGAAAGGGTGGTTCCAATGGTAGCCAATTTATGCATTGTATACAAGTTTACTGTAATGAGTCGATTTACAGAAAGATTTGTAAACAATGAACCAGTGCTGACAAATTGGTGAGTAGGAAAGAAATTAAAATTGAACTTGTAATTTTTATTTTAATGTTATTTTTAAAATGTTATAATGAATATGCAAGCTGGGTAGGGGGAGAGGTGACTGTTTTAAACTAGATCTGGGTGGATACATTCAGGGTACTTTGCCAATTATTACATTAGTCTGGCTTATTTCACTGCTTTTGGAGTTGATTGACCACCCAGCACTGTTTTAAAGAAATTATTCAGGTGTCCAAATATAATTCAACCAGCAGAGCCTAACATGGGTTTCAGTCACTGCACTAGCAACAAAGCGTTCTGTGTAGCTAAGTGGCTTGTAACTGAGAGACGTGTGAGGCTGCGATGCACATTTGTATAAGCCAATTTGTTAAGCAGTGCCATTCTGCTTTCATTCAAAATTCTGATACATTTGCTTATGACGATTGGAATCTGTTTGCTGAATGTACTTGTACTCTGCTGGGTAGTCACTCTCACTGCATTCAGAGCCACTGGTTAGCTGGTTCCCATCGTTGATAGGGAAGTTGGGAGTGGAGCAGTACTTGGGATCATATACTTGCCGGCTTAACCCATACACAGTCATCCCTTTCTGTGAAGCCCCTTGGTTTGTCCCCATCTGCAGCGACACAATGGTGGAATCACATTTTTCAGTTCCAAGTTTGTTGTCAAAGATGTGTCTTCGTGTCCCTGGAGCAGTCATTCCAGCCTGAAATCAGCAATATGTTTTGTTAAAGAATGATCAGTGTACCTACCTGTCCGCTGCATTCTTTAAACCCCTTGCCATGTCCTCTGCTCATATTGTCTACAATCTGCCACCCACCTTGTATCATATTCTGAGTGTTTACTCCATAAAATTAACTTTATTCTTCCATACCAGTTAAAGATTTAACCACTTCCTTTAAACAGCAACGAGGTGATGCTCTCATACGGTGCCTTTTTTAGATAGAAGTCATTGTTTTCTAAAAATATCAACTTTGTTCCTCCCGTCTTGATGCTTTCAGATGCTTCCCCATACCTGGGTTGCCCCCTTGTTGGTTCCCATTTGGAGACTGATGGTAGTCTGGTCAAGTGGTTTCTCCACTCCAGTTTTTGGGTCATATAAATGCCTTCTGGTACCATATGCTGTCATCCCCTGCTGGCTGGCAAATTTATTTGTCCCCATCTGGAAGAAAAATTAGCACATCAGAATGCAAAAGTGTGTGTGTGTGAAACTTGCTCTCGCTTGGGTGGTGACAGTGGTTTTGGAGGGGTTGGGTAGGGGTTGCAGTGGAAGGTCATCTTGCAGGAAAAGGAATCTCACTGATTGGAATGAAATCTTTCCCAACTGTGAAGTTGAACATCCCTTTAACAGAAAAGCAGCCTTCTAACTCTAGTTAATTTTAAGGAAATTACTTGTCTCAAGAAAATCACTTGTTTGAGCTTTTGGGTTTCCCCTGATTATCAGGCTGTTTGTGCACTCATACCAAACTGTGTATACTGCAAAGTTCCTCTCTCCAGTGTACAGTGCAGTTACCCCTTTTATTTATCACTGGCAAAGCCTACTACAAAATCTGCAGTTGTACATATTCTTCATGAAATCAGTGGGGTGAAAGAGAATGACAAAAAAAAATGAAAAGAGCTAAGCTTGCTATTATTCCAAAAAATACATTAAAAATAGAAATGCATTGCCTGGGAGCAGCATTCCCTGTAGTTTTCTTCCTGGTGCTGCATGGGTCTTTGAGCCCCATGTGATCAGCGACTTCTGGAACTGGAAGTCACTGCTGCAGTAGGTATGCTGACACAGATTGCCATGTGTGGAACATCAGAAAAGCTACGTGTGTGCAGTCATGCAGCTTAGAGGGGATATTGCCTAGAGGGTAGTTCAGGCAGGAAACCTCAACCTTTAAAAAGTACTTGGATGAGAACTTGAGATATCATAACATTCAAGGCTATGGGCCAAGTGATGTAAAATTGGACTAGAATAGATTTAGAGTAGACCCGATGGACTGAAGGGCCTCTTCTGTACTCTGTGATTCTGTGAAAGATCTACGGTTGTTGTCACTTCTCTGCAGGAATGAAAATTGTATTTTGGTGTCTCAACCATTTTTTTTCCCTGCCTATTCATTTTGTTTGCTGCTGTGGAATCAAGCCTATCATTTCTCTTTCTGCTTTGTTTTCTTCCCCATTTTCCTTCTTCACTCTCCTCTATTTTCATTTCTCCTTGCCCAGGTATTAGCCTGCCCAGCCATCAAAATACCCCCATCTTGCCCTTCATTTGTCTACAACCTTCCTAATCTCTAGCTTCCATCTCACGTTCAACTTCCTCTTAGATAAGCCTGTAGTTTCTCTCTGCTGTCTTTGGTGTCCACAAGATACTCTATTGAGGCATTCTTGATGAACAGCATCAACTGCCCATCCTATTCTCACCAATTATCCTGCCATATGATTCCACTGAAGGCTTATCTTTCCTTTCTGCCAGAGCTGATCCTGTCAACAGTGAATTGGTTATTGGAACACTCTTTCTCTGTAACGATGTCCAGAATGTCTGCTCGTATAAATGATGCCTCTAACATCCATGAGCTGAGTTGGATAAATGCATCAATGTAATGTCATTGACTCCAAGGTGATGATATCTTACCACCTAATGAAACTTCCTATTCTATCACTTGACTCATCCAAACCACAATAGTGTTGATTTAAAAAAAAATCTTTTATGGATGTGTCAGTAGCAGGGCTTGCATTTGGAGAATGGTGGAGCAGGGCACAATTTATTTTTTGAGGACTCCTCTTCAAGGCCTTTTTTACTTGGTTTTCACATGCTGCTTTTTCATTATTAGATAATATATTCATGTAGTAACATTACCTTCGATGTTTGTGCTGACATATTTGGACTTGCACAGAAGCAAATATAGAAGAATTCATCAAAATCACAATTATCAACCCCATTAAACTTAATGCATTAACAGATAAGGAAAGCATTAAATTTTCCTAGATAATATATTTAAATTGACATAAGACAGCGAGCATACATAAGCAAAATAACTGATATGTATTTCATACAGCAAGTCATCATCCTATTTCATATTGGTGAGGTCACATCTGCTGTGTTTCCATCACACTTTCGTGTAGCTGGAATATTTTAACCAGGCCCTTTCATACTTTATCTCACATCTCAATCTCAGATTTAAATTTAGTAATTACTATAGCATCCACAACAATCTTCTGCATGGAGTAGCTCGTGATCATATGCAACTTTTAGCTCGGGATACCACGTTCTGTTGCAAATAATTCATTATGTCAATTATTACATAATCAATTATTATGGTGCAGAAGGGGACTATTCACCCATCATGCCTGCACTGGCTGTATTATCTAGACCAACTACCTAGTGCCAATCTTCTGCCTTTTCCCCATATCCCTGCACATCATACTGTCAAAAAACCATTGAATGCCCTCTTGAATCTATCTTACCCATATTTCCAGGCACTGCACTTCATACCCTAACTACTCATTGTGTGAAAAAGATTTTTTTTCTCCCATCACCCTTGTTTTGTTTGCACATCACTTTTAAATCTACATCTTATTTGCTCTAAGGTGGCCTAAAGTGGTGGTTGGGAGGGAAGATGGAGACTGCACAGGGAATAGGGGAAAACACGGGGGCCATAGACCCCCTCCTAGCTTTAGTTTGCCTTTTTGAACAAGGCTGTAATATTAACATTTCTCTAGTCTTCTGGCAGCTCCCTTGAGTCCAGAGTGGAATAACTCCACACAGGCTGGTGTCCTGTGATTTATTTACACGTACAGAGTCCTTGACACTGATCCAGCTCCCTCAGAGCCAGCTCAGATTGAACAGGATGTCTGACACTCCCATTCTTATCTGTCAGCCAGCGCTCCCTGATTTAACCAGATTAACAGTCCCAGTCAGGGGACTTCTGAGGACCACCTGACTGGCACTGTTAAAATCACTATACAGAAGACTGAAAGATTGTGTCCAATCTCTCTGCAATTTTTGACCTCATTTCCTTCAAAATCCTTTGGTACATCTCATCCGGTTCCAGTGCCAACAATCTATCCAAGACTTATTCCTTATTAATTTAATCCCTTCTAGTTGATAAGGTTTCTTCCTCTGTCACCCTGAGCTGGGCAGCATTCTCCTTTGTAAATACGTATGCAAGGAATTCATTTAGTACCAGCCATGTCCCCTGTCTCCATCTGTAAGTTGTCTTCTTGGTTTCTGATCAAACCTACTGCTCTTTTATTTTAATATGCTTGAGACTTTGGGATTTCCCCTTTATGCACTAGTCTTTTAATAGTTCATATTTGCTTTTTTGTCTCCCTGCTTGCATCTTCGGTATTCCAATTGATTTTCAATTGCATTTTCTGCCTTATACCTGTTGTAAACACAAGTTTTCCTTACTTCTATTTAGCTGAGTTTTCCCATGTTGACAGACTATAAACTGTTCTCACTTTGCAGCTTCCCTATCTCTTCTTTCCCTCGTGCACACACACCACACACACAAACTCCAAGCCTGTACAACTTGCAGCTTCCTGCTTTTCACCTTCCTATGACGTTTCTGACACCCCTTCTGTAGCCTTCATTTCTCCCACAGCATGTTCTGCAGTTTCTGGGTCTTCCCTTATCCCCCATGCAGCCTCCGTCTTCCCTCCCAACCATCCCTTTTGTCCTCTTTGACAAAAAGATGACCGCCACGTCCCCTGCTGGCCTTGACTCCTTCCTGACATCAGCAAAACACAGCTGGCATCCAGCTCTGGCAATTAGCTGTTCCCTCTTGGACCTTGGACCCTAGGCCCTGACATTAGGCCCCCAGCTCTTGCACTCATCCTACTGCAGTGGTAATTCAGTTCATGGGGCACTGGCACCAGTAGTGGAGTAGAAGGGAGCTGTTCTCCTGGGATGGGCTTCACTTGACTAGTGCAAATCAAATAATTAAAGATGTAGAGAGGGCTTTAAACTAAATAGAGGCGGTTTGGATTATAGAACCATAGAGATGTACAGCACAGAAACAAACCCTTTGAGCCAATCCGTCCATGCAGACCAGATATCCTAAATTAATCAAGTGCCATTTACCAGCAGTTGGCCCTTAAACCCTTCCTATTCATATAACCACCCAGATGCCTTTTAAATGTTGTAATTGTACCAGCCTCCACCACCTCCATCGCCTTCTGCATGGAAAAAGTTGCCCTTCAGATCCCTTTTAAATCTTTCCACTCTGACCTCGAACCTAGCCTGTATAGTTTTGGACTCCCCTACCTTGGGAGAAGACCTTGGCTATTCACCCTGTCATGCCCTTCATGATTTTATAAACCTTTTAAGGTCACCCCTCAGCCTCCGAGGCTCCAGGGAATATAGTCCCAGCCTATTAAGCCTCTCCCTGTAGCTCAAACCTTCCAAAGCTGGCAACATCCGTGTAAAATTTTTTCTGAATCTTCTCAATTTTCACAACATTTTTTGTACAGCAGGGAGACAGAATTGTACGCGTTATTCCAAAAGTGGCCAACTAATGTCCTCCCAACTCCTATACTCGATGCACTGACCAATAAAGGCAAGCATACCAAATGCCTTCTTCACTATCCTGTCTACCTGGGACTCCACTTTCAAGGTATTCTGAACCTGCACTCCAAGGTCTCTTTGTTCGGCTGCAGTCCTCAGGACCTTCACTTTAAGTATATAAGTCCTGCCCTGATTTGCCGTACCAAAACGCAACACCTCACATTTATCTAAGTTAAACTCTGTCTGCCACTCCTCGGCCCTTCGGCCTTACTGATCAACGTTCCATTGAGCTCTGAGATAATCTTCTTCGCTGTCCACTACTCCACCAATTTTATTATCATCTGCAAACTTACTAACTATCCTTCCTATATTCACATCCAGATAATTTATATAAATGAAAAAAAGCAGTGGACCCAGCACCAATCTTTGTGGCACACCGCTGGTCACAGGCCTCCAGTCCGAAAAGCAACCCTCCACCACCACCCTCTGTCTCCCACCTTCGAGTCAGTTCTGTATCCAAATTGCTAAATGTTCCTGAATTCCATGTGATCTAATCTTGTGAACCAGTCTAACCTGTGCTGAAATCCATATAGACAACGTGCTCTACTCTGCTTTCATCAATCTTCTTTGTCACTTCTTCATAAACTCAAGTTATGAGACATGATTTCTTA